CATTTATCATAGTGTTTATTAATGTGAAAATGTTCTTATGATATAAAATGCAATCTATTGTGATGATAAATTGCAATTAAAGACTTCCAAAGCCCGTAATTGGTGTGAATCCAGGATTTTAAAAACTTCAGATGTGTTTTTATGAAGAACTTTGGATTTTTTTTTTCAAAGCTGCCACCATGGACAAGAACAACCTGATTTTTTTATATTTTATTATCAGTATTACAATTTTGACTACAATAACAATACAACAAATGATTGTTGAGGCTTCTGGAAACAACTTTGTGTAGCTCTCATAACATATGCGTTTTAGTGAAACACAATGTTGAGATGCACTGCTTTTTTATCTTGTTTTTGGTGTATTTGTGTAAAAAAAAACAAACAAACAAAAAAACATACATCTATGTGGATAGATAAGATAAATACTCACATTTTTCAGTTTAATGTTTCCCCATTCGTCATCCTAGAATTGAGAAATAACATTAACTAACCGAAATACAAAAGACATATTTGATCAAAGCTTCAGGAAGCTCCAAATGTTATAACGAGTTCATAAATACTGACACATCTGTTTTTGCCATTTTAAAGCACACACACACTGATCATGATTGTGATCATTAAAGCTGCGACAGCAGATAATCTTAACATGTGATGTGATCCTGTTCTCGCTGTATTTTTTTTAAAGAAATCTGTAAACTAAATAAATAAAATAACAGTAATAATGAAAACTGTTTCGTATGCAATCTAGAATCAGTGGATGTAGTTTTGAATAAACGTGTTGAAAATCATCCATCAGAAGAAACCTTGTCCCTAAAGCTTAACTTGTAGCACTGTGTTTTCTTATTACCTTCAGGGTGCCTCCCTTCACCATGACCTTCTGTCTGTCAGGCTGAACTCCTGTCAGGGCGAAGAGTTGAGCCTTGAAAACCATGGGTGGCTCCTCCGTGTTGAGCTCTACTGCATCAAACTTCTCTTTGCCCCATTTCACATTGACTGAAAGCGGATAAAAAACAAAAACAAAAACAAAAAACATCGTACGTGTGAGTTACGTGTTAGTAGTGGGAACATCTTAGCTCAACTAGAATGGGTTCTGTATGTATGACACAGCATCTTGTGCTTCAAGGAATCAGGCAGCTACCAGGGCAGTCCTTCTGAGTTGGTTTCATCCACAAAAGGGGAAGCTGACCATAATATTGCTGTCCACTACAGCAATTTTTTTGTGATAAATCACTTGACTGACTTTTGTAATATTACCGGTTTAGAAATAGTAAAATCATGCCCAGTAATAAACAGTTCATGGAAAACAAGCAGCTGTATTGCAGTTAGCCATAAATGGGCTAACTTTACTGAAAATGCTACCGCAGTTGGGTGTTTTAAAGAAACATGTCCGGTCTATGAAGGCAATAATGTGAAACAAATAAAACTTCAACTTGCTAAAACGTTTTAAACGTGTTTTACTTCTTGATGGTTGTAGTTAACCAGGTAAACACGTCAACTTTAGTGTTGCCAAACTAGACTAGCTTGTTTGGTTTTCTTGAAAGTGCTAGTTAGCATAGCCGGCAAAGCAAAACACATTGTAAAGTTGAACATAGAAAGTCCTAAAACACAATATAGCCAAACAAATGTGTACACATATTTCATTCGCAATATTGTTTCCAGGAATAACTGCTACAGCTTGCTGAAAATATAGACGGTCTTTCTAGAACTGCTAGCATGCTAACTGCATATCATGCTACACGGCTAAGCTAACGTATTTACGATGCTTCACTAAAACACGTGCAAGGATTCGCGCTTTCGTTATAGCTTTAATGGTAACAACAACAAATACGACGCGTTTGTTTTACATCATACCTGTAAACACCGGCATGGTTGGCAGTCTTTGTTTTCCTGGAGTATCTGATATTGTTTTTCCCGTGTCAGTCTACTGGGGCGCGAATGAAGAGTTGGCTAGTTCTCAGTCTGAACTTCATTCAAACAGGATGACGCTGCAACAACACGCTGGGAACTTATCGATGCGCTCGACAACACGTTAGCAATCCTGCTGGATACTTCTCCGCTTGTCTGAGCTCATTCATGTATTGAGCAAAAATTCATTTGGTGAAGGCCCAGTTGCAAAAACAGAAAACTTAATACTGTGACCGATCAGTAAATTAGGACATAATTGAAAAGTAAAAATAATTTCAGCTATGAAATTCAGATAGTGAATTAACATTATAGGGCGTCGTTAATAAAAGCCCTAAATTTAATTAATCAAAATATGTCAGACACTACTGAAAATTGTCAAGACACCAGCAGCTTCTACAAGGAAGGCAAGCCACAAACTGTGGTAATGACGCTTACTAAACAGCATGTCATTTGAAAGTTAAGATGCACAAGCAACAAGCATAACCACACTTTTGAGAAGATTGTGAAGCAAAGGTCCTTTGCTGGTAAAACCCTAAATGTAAAACCCAATGAATAAATACTAGTACACACACTTATACACATTTTACTGGCCTGGTTTCCCCTATGAAGAATCTTTAGAGGTGCCGCTACTTTAAAGAAGAGTTTCCATAATTACCTTTAGTAGCTCATTTATAGCATTGCTGATTTGCTTAGTTTAGAAAATGGACTGGATTTATCTTTTTTCTTGATAATGTGAATCAAAAATGTTTCTATATAAATAAAGAATTGAAAACCAAATTACCTTTCATGTGAAAAAGGTTAATAACCACGAGTCACGTCAACAGCCTTCCCCATGACCTAAAACGTCTAGATTTAGCAAACTTTGGTGAGTTTTACGCAACACTGAAATAGGTATCTTAAGAAAATTAGATCATTAAAGTTAACATACATACTTGGCATGTATAATTGTGTACCAAATATTTATTCTGAGAACAGATTTGGCTTTACTCATCCACTTGAGAACTGCCCACACCAATTTTCAATTATTAAATCAAAAGGTACAGATAACGGTAAAGCAAAAGACCAAGGGACAAAACGTCCCATTCAGGGACTCGACAAGTGTTGCGATTGTTTCAAACATCCCTTCAAATACTCAGATATAAATTGATAAATAAAGTAAACAAACATGATAAAGATATGTTTATTGACATATCCATCAGTGCGGGGTCCATTGCAAATTACCCATGCAAATTATCCAACACAAGAGATCATATTTCCAGTGCTTTTCTTTTTTTTTTTTTTTTACTGAAAAGAAAATAAAAATCTTACAAAGGAAAGACTGTGAAGGTATTCCATAATCCTTTTGTCTTTCTTTATGTACACTCTATAGTGGGATTTGCAATAACTGAACTTAACACAGGCGATACAACTTGTCCTTGTTATTATGTCAATCGTTCACACAGACTAGTTTTGCGTAAACCCTTTGTGAAACTTCTAATATGACATGAACCAAGTTTGGAAGCTTTGTGTCCATAAAGAGGTATTTTAATGTACTTATATATATTTAATATTCATAACCAGACAAAGAATGTTCTGATAAAAACCAAACCGGCTGCAATTTCTTTTAAAAAAAAGAAGGAAAAAAAAAAAACAATGGAAGAGTTAAGATTTGTCTTATGTTGCAACAAAAATGAAAAAAAAAACAAAACAAAACAAAACAAAAAAAAAAAAAAACCCAAAAACGATATGGCAGTAAAATCAATATCCAAACGTTAAGGCACAAGGTGGGCCAAATGCTACACCTGTTTAGTCTTCTACAAATAATTTACACTCAAGTCAAACAGTGCAGTTTTACATTTGTTAACTTAATGTTTTCCTTTTGAGCCATTTCTCTATCAACCAGTATAAGGCAATACATTACAAAAAGAAAACAATATTACAGAGACAATGTACCAAATAAACAGAAAACAAAATCCGTTAAGTTTTATGACTCCTATATGCCAATACAGTCGAGTTCTCCTTATGGCTTGGAGCAATAAAAATAATTATAATAAAAATAATGCATAGATTTAAATGATGATCTTGCATGCTCTGTTCTCAATACTCAAAACATCTAATACTCATGCCCCCTCCCGGCCTCCCCCCCCAAAAAAATTGTTGCTCCAAACCTGATAACTGAGTTGCAAAGTGATAAGACAAAAAAAAGGCAAAAAGGCCAACAACAATAGCTAGATGAAGGCATCGTGTCATTTTTTTTTTTAAAGTTGGAAACAACTGTTGCATTTAGCTGAAATAACCATCAGGTGGGGAAAGAAATTACTACACAGTTATATCTACTTTCCACCCCTGAGATCCAACGTTTTACTGCAGATCTATAATCCCTGTATAACAGTACCTTAAAATGAAAACAAACTTGCAGGTGTCCATACACTCCCCCCCCCTTTCCAGTTTCCATTAATATCTGTCTTAAAATGTGAAGCAGAGAATGCCAGAGTGAGTGCTTCCATTGCTGTTGTCTGTCCTTAATTCAACACAAGTGCGCCATCTTGTGGTTGCAATGTAAAACTGTGAGTTCGTTGAGTTTGATGACACTTCTTTTAGAGAAAAGGAGGTGGGAAAAGCAGATTGAGTAGATTTGGCCTTTTAAAGTCCATGATGGCGCGCCGTGTGACGTGAACTGCAGTTTTCCAGCGGCTTTTTTTCTGCAATTTTGAGTTTTCAATACATTTTTAATATACTACAGGCTTTTATTTTGTTTTTGTTTTTTTCCGTTTTTGTTGATGAGAAAAGAGGGAAAGTTTTAGAGTCCAGAAAAAGTCCCAATGGTTCAGATGGTTAGCTGAAAGACAGAAGAAACACCAGTAAAAAAACTATTTATCTTTACATTTGTTAGTATTCAGTCGAACAGATAATGTAACTGTTAATAGCTCAAATCTGGCTCATGTGTGACAGAAAAACAATCTAGTATGGACAATTCTAATGAGAGTTGCAAAGTATATAGTTAGTTCACGAATCCCAAACCACCTTGGTGTCAATTAGAAAAAAACAACAAATCCCAAGAGTCAAACTGCACAGATGCCAGGAGGAAGAAAAACAACCAACAACCAGGAAGTCTTGTTTTAAAAAAAAAAAAAAAAAAAAAGATCCAGGAGCGCAATTAATAAATAAAAAAAGATTTGAAGGTCAGTGGGAAACATCTAAAATACAACATCAACACTCTGAAGAAGTTCCTGTCAACAAGTGCTTGATGTTGTGTCTGCTGCGTGGAGGCTGGACTGCGCTCTGCTACAACACAGGAAACAAACAGCAGGTCATGTGACTGACTTTACCACATCTCAGCCTTCAAGTTGGGGCTGAAAAAGATCAACTTTATGACTACAGCACACCCTCACTTACTACTGCCCCTCCAGCCCTCAAGAAAAATGCTACGTAGAGACTTAAAGTTATTGCAACATTGAAGCTGTAAAATTATGTGCATGATGTGTGATAAGAAGAACAACTTAAAACCCAGAACAACAGTTACACAGTAAAGTTACCTCAGCTTTGCCGTATTGCTTTTAGGGTTTTTGCGGAAGGACTGGTTGGGTCCAGAGCGAGTGGACATGCTACGAGGCGAGACTCTAGAAAACGTTGATGGGGGAGTCTTAGGAATCTTCTTTCCCAGGTGGCCAATCCATTTCTTTTGGTCCTCTTGGGTCACAGCCAGTAACAGCATGTCCCGGGCAGAGGTCACGTCGTAGTTCACTGTTAGAGATAACAGAGAAGGCTGCAGAGATTAACACCCGAATCAGGCAAACGGGCTCTCCAAAGTGAAGGCTGAAACAACATGTTTAAGAGAACCGACAAGTTATATTTAAAACCGTGATACCACTACAGGTGAAGCTCCAGTTGTTGTTTTTTTTAACTTCAGTGCGACCAAAAGTTGTTCATGTACAAAAACAAAGAATTTATTTGTAATAAAATTACTCTAAAGTATAAAGTCAGCTACACAACACATGGCTTGTGTAGCTAACTTGCACAAGGCATGGCTGTCACAGCTCTTCTTTTTTTTTACCACTTCAATCTCAATTTGAAATTTAATTCTCAATATTTCTACCCTCAGTGTTTTTTTTTTCTTTTGTCATTTGAATTTTACTCCTAAAAGCGGGTATGCAACAACAAACAATTCCTCCCCAACTTTTTTTTCTCCTAGTGACGCTTTAAGATCAGTCAAAACATAAGTCTTCATTTTTTTTGTGAAGCTGGAAAAAAAAAAATTTGACACTTAAAAAAAAAAAAAAAAAAAAAGTTAGTGTCCAATAAGTATAGAAGAAATAGGGTCACGATTTATAAGATTTTACCATTTAAATTCCTTTCGGGAATCAGTAAATTTTTTTTATAAATTTGAATTTGTTTTCCAGACAATGCAGGAACCCTGAACCACTGGTTACAGCAGATGGTTATTCTTTATATTTGCTTTAGTCTTTGAATGAAAACTTCTAAATAACAACAAATATTATAATGTTATTTTAACATTGATACCCAATATCTTATACTGTTTCCATGGATATAGCAGGTTGTGTTCCAGTTTTAAATAATGGCGTTTGACATGCAAATATCATCCTGTGGCGTAAGCATTGTGTTTTTTTACTCAGGGTTTCAACTGCATCAGAATGAAAAGGTCTGGTTACGTTCAGCAAATTCTAGACTGTTTTTGGCCTCGGCGTCCAAAAGCCGAGACTTCACCTTTGCAAGGAGCGATGACGTCCTCCTTTTTGTCGAGGTGGTCCCTGTGGCACTTCACATGGCAGCGGCGGCACTCCAGAGCCGGAGGAGGCTTGAACACGTGCCACAGGGGCTTGGCGCAGGCCTCACAGTTAGAGGGGAAGTGATATAGTGTGGGGATGAACTCGTGACCCTTGTGCGCAAGACAGTTGGTCTTTTCACCCTGAGGGACCGGCTCCATGTCCGCCTCCTTCCTGCACTCTCCCTCGTTGGCGTACAGAATCTGAAAAGGCAAGCACGCAAAAAATAAAAAATAAAATAAAATCTGAGTCTGATGGAAACGTGGCAGGATGAAGCGTGACGGCTGCCATCTTGGTCACAAGCATCCAAACCTGGAATATCCGAGGAATCTCTTCCGTTTCGGCTCGGTACACGTCTCCTTGAGTAACTGGTCTCACATGAAACAGTTTGCTAGGAAAGAAAAAAAAAAAATATATATATATATACAGAAATTAGAACAGACAACAGTATAATAAATAACTGAGTAGTTTCAGTTTTTTTTTTTTTTTTGTGTGTGTAGACGGAGTACCATGCAAAACTGAAATAACAGGAACAAAGGAGTACTTACTCTATATCAAGTACCATGGAGGGGTTAGACTGTTCTTTATCTTGCTCATCATTGTAGAACAGAATCTTCTTACTGCTCACCACAACATACTGCAATTATCCAGAACACAGTAACTGGAACCTTCTCTTAACAGTCAAAAAGTCGGAAGTGCAGTCAGATTTTAAAAAGAGCAAGCGTACCTGTTTCTTCCATCCATATCGCTTGATATTAGCACGATTAGGAATGGACAACCAACCCTCCAGTCTGGATTCTGAAAAGAAATCCACATGCAAGCAATTAGCATCTATGTGGTTCATGAAGCACACAGGGAGAAGGCCATGCAGCAATCAGAAATCAACTGGGGAAAAACAAAACTCCAAGGCCGTACTACAAGGCTGCTGTAAGAAAAAAATATATATATATATATATATATATATATATATAAACAAGGTTTAAGGAGAAGGCACTGAAGCCAGTGACAGGACTGCAGATATCCCATGCAGGAGGAAATTAAACAGAGTTAACAGCTTTTAACAGCAAGTTTGTGGAATATTTTATTTAGACAGGGTTCCTACAAGATGACTTATTAGTTCTTTATGTTTATTTTAAATGTAAAACAGAAAAGGCGAGCTTAAAAGGATGTGACCTGCAAAAATTCCAAACTGGAAGGAAGGTCAGACAAAAAATAAGCGGGAACAAGAAGGAAAAGATAAGGAAGAAAGGGATGTGGGACACAAGGAAAGAAGGGGAACAAGAAAGCCAGACGAGGAAAGGAGAAAGGAAGGAAGAATGGATGAAAGAAAGGAAGGAACCAAAAAGAAAAAGATGGCTAAACATAGGAAAGGAATGGAGATAGGAGCAAGGAGAGCAGGACAGAGGAACCATAGGTAGGAGAAGGATAGACAGACAATATGAAAGACATAATGAGGAAATCAAGCAGGGGAAGAAGGAAAGAAAGGAAATGACAAAGGAAAATTGATGAAAACAGAAAAGACAAGAAGAAAGGGACAAAAAATACAAATAAGGACGAACATGAGGTTGGGAAGAAGGGCAGAAAAAATGTCTGAGGATGGAAAGACGCCAAGTAGCAAAGGACAGAAGGAAAGAAACATTTAGACAATGGGAAAGTCTGGAATTACAAATATTCTTTTCTGTACACCATGTTTCTTTTTTTCAAACTTTTACTGAAATCACACTAAGCTTCTCCAGACTGCATAGGAACCCTGTTTAGAATATGTTAAAATTAACGCTGCAGGTGCAATTTGGTAAGTTGTTTTATTTTTTGTAAATCACCCAGTCCTTTCACAGAAACAAACAAATGCAGCGCAGGTTACATTTCTACATTTTCTGGTGTTACAACTACAAAGGAAGGCGGTGCATGCGGCTGAAAAACAAAAACCACAGCCATCAGTGAACTCAAACGGCCTGGTCTAGAAATCGTAGCGGAGCGAGGGTGGTCTGTGTGCCATCGTGAGCATCACTTCTGGTGAACATGCTGACACAGACACAACTAGAGTGTCAAGACACACTTAAATAAAAGCAGGTCATTAGTGTGAAGGAAAAAAAAGTCCCAAATGTGACGCGTGATAAACTTTCCACGTTACCACTCAAAGGTTGCCCTGTGGTTTTACTGGCAGTATCGCTTTTTAGCATCAAAGATTTCCAAAGATAATTTACATCATTGTCCTTTCTCTAAAGTGCAATACTTCCAATAGATACAGCAGCTCAGGCAGAAGAATATTTGGATAAATCAGGAGAAAAAAAAACAAAACAAAACAAAACCAACACACAACAGCTGCAGCACATGACGGGCAACAAGGGTTCATCCACCGAGTTACTCACAGAGGAAAAGGAATAGAAGTTACAGAGATAAGAGCAAGGAGAACCAACTGGACAAAAAGGGAAATAAGAGAAAGTGTTTTAACCACATACAATTGCATACAATTACAACGCTGTGCAAACAGTTTAATGTTCATGAAGAGATTTGGAAAAAATGATTTGAAAATTAATCAGTAACCACAGCAGCTTACTTCCCAATCTTTTTCTGATCAGTGAACGCATCGGTTCTAAGGAAACCAGGTCACAGCAGCTGTTAGTGAGTAGAAAGGACTCAAATTTTGTTGAATGGAGAAGCAAGGAGATGTAAGAAGCCATTTAAACCATGATCTACTAATAACACCGTGGGAGAGCAAGACTTTCAGAAGGTAACAGGAAGGCTGAATGGAATATAGCAAAGTTGCTCTGTTCAAATCTCTGCTCAGTATAGACCATGACTTATTATAGTTTAATATGAGAGAAAAACATTCCTTCAAGTACAAAACCTTGCAGGGATGAGTTAGGCAGCTGCTACACTAATTTTGGTATATCCATCAATCGAATCAGCTGCTGTTACTTTTTGTGATGAATGCACAAGAAAGTTCTGAAGTGAACCAGGTGGGGGCGCCAAAATTCATCAAACTGGATGCCAACTACAGGAAATGATAGAGAAGGATCAATATTTGTTTATCTGAACATAAATTATTAAACCGAGCTTGATTTCAAAGCAATGGACACACCAATTCTCCTAATGTTTATGTTAAGTTACATTCTATGCTTAACAAAAAAAAAGTAGGTCAGAGTGAAAAAAAAAAAAAATTATCAGATTGTTTAAGTATTGTTAAACCAGAAATCATGGATATGGTAAACATTTTTCCTCCTAAATTGAAAAAAAGTCATCTGACTTTAGATGTCATTATATATATATATATATATAAAAAAGAAGCAATTGAATAAAAGGCAGTAAAAAAAATAATTCTGCTCTAATATTTCTCTACAGCTATTAGCGAAATTAATTCAGTTAAACTCAGTACTGGCAGATCAAAACTTTACAGAAACTGAAGATCAGAAATTGGCCTGAAAACACACATCTCCAGCTTAGGTACCTGCTCCAAACAAAAACGTCATCATAGGACAAAAATCGTAAATCTCCTGCACAGTCACTGTTTACAAACAAGATATGTTGGACGTATGACCAGGTAATACTCAACCAGAAATGTTATGTAAAAAGTTCAAACTGATAAATGCCAACCGTAGCATAGTAAAAAGATAAGATATTTAAAAAAAAAAAAAAACTGATTTGTTTTTTATGAGTTGCACCATTGCCATCCACCCACCTGCAGTGTTACTGTCTGTTTCATCCGTCTGCAGGCTGGTGACGCTGGAATTCTCCACACGCTGCTGCAAGTCGCTCAGCTTCTCGCGCAGCTGCTCGATGTCGCTCTCCTTGCTGGCCAGCTGCATCTGCAGCTCGTTGCGATACGTGGATTCCTCTGCGAGTTGCTGGAGACGGCAAGGTCAAGAGTTCTGCATTAAAATCAAATTGCACAAGCAATGCTCCAGCTCTGTTTTAGCTATTTGGGACCATGACCCACCGCCTGCATCTCGTTGACCTCCTTCTGGTACTTGATGGCCATGTGGTTAAACTTCTCCTTCTCCTGATTGAGCTCCTGCTGAAGCTTGCGGTTCTCTTTCTCCTTCTTGCGCAGCTCTGCGGTGCTACCTTTCTTCTTCTGGTCGAGCTTCATGTCTTTACGATTCATGATCTCAGCCAGCTTGTTCACCGCCTAAAAAGACGGGACGCCAACCGTCAGTCGCTCCGCTATTACTCAGAACATTATATCTGCAGACCTCAGAATCTCATCTGTACCTGAGTCTTGAGCGTGCGTTCGGTTTGGAGCACCTTCTCATAGGAGGCTTTGACTGAAGCCACGATCTCTTCCTTCTGGGAGAGGTAGTCTGGAGGATAAAATGTGATCCGTGTTAACAATAAAAAGGGCTCCTCAAAAATTCTAAACTTCTACAAACTAAAATTTCTATAGATGCCTATAGTAAAAAGTTGGAAGTGGCATTTATCCCATCGTTCATCATTAATCGTAAAACATGCGTTTCAGATTCATTGTCGTCATGATAAATTTCAGTTATTTATGGTAAATCTGACTGGAAATGTTTTTCCATTTTCTCCTCTGTTGCACTAAGAGCGTCAATAAATGGGGAATTGTTTTTCCAAGAACAATATTTGTGTTTGTGACACTATGAATGTCACAGATATACAGTTACCTAAAAAGATATTCATTTTTTATCATAATCCTCATCAACACAATAGTACAACAAAGTATTGTGATAAGATTCAAAGTTTACATCACCCACTCCTACAATGAAGATTAAAAAAATAATAAAATCTACCAGTAATATATGGCAAATAGTTCTGTAGTTATCATTCTTTAAATATGGAATAAAACAAAAGGATGGGTAGATAGAAAAAGAGGAAAAACTGGACCACTGGATGACAAACTGATAGACAACAGGACAGATAAAAGGACAGGAAGTCAATTTTTACTCTTTTCCATTTCCTTTTTCCATCTTTAGAGATCTAAAAACTACTTCAGTAAAATTCCATCCTTTTCTAGACTGTGAATGGTCCACAGCGTGATGACATCATCGCAAAGCAACAAGGACAGAATGCAGCAGCAGACAGTACCTTCCTCCTGAAGACGAAGCTTCTCACTCAACTCCGTATTGTCTTTGCTGAGGTGCTCCACGTCTTTGGCCAAAGTTTTATTGGATTCCTCAAGCTGCGCGCAATTTTGAAAACAATCATTTTGATCACTCCGGGTTACTACAGTTAAAGCCACAAAGGCAAAGCTTTCAACGGACGCATTTAAGACTAAAGCTCACCTGTGCAATCGTGGCCTCTCGTTCACCGATCTCCTGCTTGTGCCGAGCCGTTGCTTTCTTGTTCTCCTGGGTGAGCTCAAAGTACTGCTCTTCCTGCAGAGCCCGAGCGAGCTGCTCAGACTCGGCCTTGGTCACCGTCAGATCCAGCTGAGCAGACAGCGAGTCTCTGCACCGCAGAAGACGAATAAACAAAAAGCCCTCGGACGCAGATTCTCGAAGCGGCAACAGACATCAACAGGAGTCCACCACGTACCTTTCGCTTATCAAATCGTGCACCTTCTTCTGAGCGTCCTGTACCTGCCGGTTCCGTTCCTCAATCTCCTCTTTCAGCTCCCTAACCTGAGTTTTGTAAAGTGTCTGCAAGGGGAGGAAACGCACAATGATCCCACAGTAGGAAACTAGAAGAGACATCTGGACTGTGGGACTTTTACTTACAGAAAAATACTGTTCGGCTTCAAGCTGGTCCTGAAGTTCCCTCATCTGTCCTTCGTTGCCTCTGTACTGTCTGTCAAAACAACTCCCAAATAAGTCATGTGTTCATTTATTTAAATCACAAATGTAATCATCAAAACTTAAGTCCCCCAACCCACCTCCAAAAAAAAAAAAAAAAAAAAAACCGAAAAAAACAAACCCAAGAATCTAAAATCATCTTATTTAGTAGTAAAGGAGTAGAGGATTAGTGGAAGGAGCCGGAGCTGCAGTAAAGCCTAATCCTGTTGGGTAAACATCGTCTCCAATCAGCTTTGGCCTGCTCATGTCCTAAGCTGGAATAATAGCACTCATTTGAAAATAACAGCCAATTGGAAATCTATTTACACGTTAACTTCCTAAGAGAATTACTGACCCATGTTGCACTATAAAGGAAATAAGAAATCCCGTGTGGACCTGCTGCCAGCTTGTTCCGCAGTAAAAAAGAAAAAAAAAAAAGTGCCAGCATGGTCGAGTAACCCATTCCCCCAAATAATTATTCTACTCAATCTACCTTTTAACAAGGCACGTTTCTAAAAGCATTTGTGGAACATACTTGGTCAGCTGAGCCAGCTGGAACTCCAGTGAGCGTTTATTCTCCAGCGCCGTGTTGATCTCCTGCTTGAGCTGCTTCTCCGAACACCTCAGGCGGTCCACGTCCTGCGTGCGGCTCTTCAGGTCGTTCTGGGCCGCCACGCGCTTACTCGACTCCTGATCCAGATGTGTGTGCAAACCTTTCACCTGACGAAGGGGGATTTGAGAGAGGTGATGGTTTAGAGGGGGGGGGGGGAAACAAAATTGTTAACGACGCTTTTAAAACATCCTGAACAACGGATTAGAAAAATAGTCTCTGAATGCTTGAATAGTAATAGGATCTCATAAACTGCAGTTTCCAAACATCCTGAAACACCACAATGCTGGAATCATTTCACAACACTGACAAAGAATGAAGCAAACAATAAGGACATGAAGAAGGAGGAAGGAGAAGCACAAAGGATTAAAGGACCGAGATAAGGAGGCCGAAATGAAAATTATGTAGAAGAATGAAAAACAGGTAAGACACAAGGAAGGAAAGAAAGGAATGAATGAAGGAAACAAAAGAAAAGCAAAGGGAGAGGACAGGTCAGAAGGAAGGACATGATAAAGAACGGGAGGACAGAGAATAAGCAAAAGAAGGATACATAAAGAAAACATGTATGAAGGAAAGAAGAAAAGAACGGCCACAAGAAAGACAGAAAAGAAGAACACAAGAAAGAAAAATAAAGGAATGAAACTAAGGAATAAAAGGAGGACACTAGGAAGGAGGAAGAAAAAATAAGAAATGGGGGTGTTACCTGCAAAATGGCCTATTTCTACATTTAAATGAGCTTCCCTTTGGTCAAAAATTAAAACACCAATGATGGGCAAAATGTAAAACGAAGGTGTTTTATGGCAAATTAAAGATAAAGCATTTGATTTAAATATCAAATACCAGTTAATCAGCATAGTTACTGTTCTTCAAAATATAAGTTAACCGGGTTTAGGGGGTGGGGGGTGGCATTTGCATTTTTTCCCCCCACACTGAATTGCATTTTCCGTAAACCAACCTGGAAACCGATAACGGCAATTCTTTTCCAGGCTGTGTATAAACCCTGCATTACATTAAAACTCTCATGTATATCAGCCATTTACTAACCTCATCTTCCAGTCTCTCCTTTTGCTTCATCAGCTGCTCCATTTTCTGCACAGACTGCTTCAGGTCGAACTCCAACATGGAGCACTGCTTCTCGACCTCCACCACACGGCCCTCTGCTCTTATCCTTGCTCCGGTCTCTTCCGACATCTTCTGCTGAACGGCTGCAGTAAAGCAGGGACAGATTAATTAGCTAGATTAATTCGACAGCCATAAGAAGCAGTCGGGTAAGCAGGAGGCCCTTCGTTAAAAATGTTGACTTCTGGGACAATTTCTTGAAGCAATCCCTTTTCTGAGTTCTAAAAAAAAAATACGTCAAAATGATGTGATAGATTAATGCATACAGAATGAAGAGTGCATGCTATATTAGTCAAAATATTTCATAAATACACATCGAGTTACGTGAGTTTAACGACTTTTACCCGAGTCTCATCTTCGTCTTGCTGGTAAATAAGTGAATACACTAAGAGAAATTCTTCTTTAAAGTTTGACAGTTTGGTGCGTTTCCATGTTTTTCCAAAGTGAAACTCTGATCTAGACCTAAAATGGAGTGAATCCTAGCAGGAAATCACAGAACTGGATATATTTATAAAATGTAATTAATGTAAAATGTGGATTTCTGTAAAATGTGGGAATTTGTGAAACTAACTCAAAACTCCTGGGTTTCCCCAACAATGTGAGAGTCGGTGTCATCTTTACACTGGTGTTAAAAGCAAATAAACATTAAAAACATAAATAAATACATAACAGGACTGCATTGGTTTCTGCTTTTCCCTGTCCATTTGTGTGATGTCACCCACTGAGACAAGGCTACATGAAAAGCTTCAAAACGAGACCTGATCACAACAGATCAGAAGAGATCACAACCAGCAATAAATTGATGGCATTTATATTTTTTGCTGCACATATAAATACCAGCAATTTATATTTACAAGATTTAAAACAAAGTGACTAAAGTTTAGGAAGGAGGTGAAAAAAATTCTTTAAAGTTTTGTCTCAACATGATTACTTGAAGCTTTAGGTTAAGTGAATTATCAACAAGTCATAATTCATATCAAAGCAGAAAAGATGGCAGCTAACATGAGCCTGTAGTTTTTACAAGCTCTTTCCTCTGTTTACTAAAAGATACTTTCTATCCACATGTGTAGAAAAAGGGCCACACTGACCGATATGGACAGAGCAGAGGTTTGAACCGGGAAGACCTCTGTTCCCTTTTTGCACAAGAGAAGTTGAAAGTCAAACAAAAAAAACAAAAAAAAAACTAAGAATAAACTACAATTTCTTAAGCCTATAAACTGTAAAAAAAAAAAAAAAAACATTTAATAAAAAAAGGATTTACTGATCAATAGTTCCTCTGGTTATTTGACCTCATCTAGAAGCCAAATTTGGATCTCTGAGTGTGTTGTTTAACAAATTACTGTACTGCAGTGTACTTCAAACCTTGGGCCCTTGTGGATGTTTTCATGGTCATAAAAGAGAGAAATGTATGTATTATTATTAATCTTAAGCAACAATTCTATTTCAAATTCAATGAGGTGATGTCCCAACATGCTCAGCAGCTTCTATTCTTTGAATTCTTCAAACCCAAACATCACCTCAAGCTAACTCTGGATCACATAACAGAAAGGCGAGGCTTGAAGATATGATTTATTTAGGTGGAAAAGGCTGTGAAAAATAAGAAATATATCCCCCCAAAAAATTAAAGACCGGGGGAAAGTGGAGGGGCGTGCTTGGACACGAGGCTGGCATACCAATCATAGCAGCTGATTTGGCTTCTTCAATAGATTCGTATTTGTCTGTGAGCTGCGCCCGCGTCACTCTGTGCTCGGTTTGTTCCTGCTCCAGACGCTGCTGCAGGGTCTTCAGCTTGTAGTTCAGGTCAATCTCCAAACTGTTCTTTTCCTGTTGCGTAAACAAAGATTAACATGAAATGCACAACAACTTCTAGAGGTCAGAAATGGCTGCCGCTCGTGCCGTCTGTGTATACCTTCTCCAGGTAGTTGCTCCGTTCCTGGGCTTGCTTGCGTTCCCCCTCCACTTTGGAAAGATTGATCTTCAAGTTTTTGTTGTCTTCTTGCAGTCCGGCCAATCTCGCTGAGCAGAAAACACAGTCAGCCACAATTAGCATTACAAAATCAATTTGTTTGGTACAAACAAGGAATATAACTTGGGTTTCCATCACTCGCATTGTAATTAAGGCGCAGCCGTGAGATGGAGGGAGCATTATTCAAATTGTTTTAATCGCTTCCCACTTAAAATGAGAAATATTCAGCTGGATGAACTAAACTGAATTGAATTGAGACGGGGTTGAATCTTATTTAGCCTTATGTGCTCACCTTGCAGTTCCCTCATCTCCTCTGATCCCTCGCTGTAGTTTCTTCGCTCCGACTCCAGCGTGCTCTGAAGCAGCAGCAGCTCCTTCTCCAGCTGCGCCTTGTCTCCGTCGGTGGCCCGGCTCCTCTCCTGCAGCTCACGGTTCAAGGTCTCCAGTTGGCTCATCGACTTCGTCATTTCCGTGTGGCTCTTCCTCAGTCTCGCCGCCGTGTCCGACTCCGCTCGCAACAGGTCGTTCGCCTCCTCCAGCTGTTAGTTACGATAGCAAAACAGGAACAACAGAGGGTTTTAAATCGGGCTCCAACAGCAGAGCACTGATAGTACTGGCAGTGCTGCTTTCTATTTGTGCTCGGTCACACAGATTGTGATTAAAAAATAAAAAAGTTATGATGAACAGTGTCATGCAAGTATTCAGTAGTTAGCAACAATCAACATATTTTGTTGCTGCTTTATATGATAGACAAACACAAAGTGGTAAATAAATGCAAAGTGGGAGGAAAACAATACAGTATATCAAATGAAAAAGGGTGACAGAGAAATACGCAGCTACTAATATGAAAAAAGTAAATAAATCCCAATGTGGATAGAAATACAAAAGTGTGTGTGTGTGTGTGTGTGTGTGTGTGTGTGTGTGTGTGCATACCTGCTTCTGCAGTTGGACAATCTTGTCATTTGAGGCCTGTGAGTTCTGACTGATCTTCCTCATATCTTCAAGCTGCTCCTTTAAATTCGACACTAAAGGGGAGGGGGGAAGACGGGAGAGACGATGCCTCAGTTAATTTCTAAATGCACGCAAATATCTTACAAATCTCTTAAAAGCTGCTTCTTCTTTTTTTTTTTTTTAGGAAAGTATGTTTCTGAAATCTCGTAGCTTAACACATTGTTGTAAAGCCTGTGAAAAGTTCAGAGGGATGTAGAAATGCACCAAGAGTTCACCGTTTCAAAAATCCCACCGGATCGTGTGGCACTTTAAGAACTTGAACTGGAAAGCCTCCCACTTACACAGTCAGCAGCACTTCATTACTTTTACCTTCATTCTCTAAGTTGCGCCTCTTTTCTCCCTCCTGGTCAGCTTTTCTTTGGTACTCGGTGAATCTGTGCTGCAGCATAATCTTGTCTTTCTCCAGCAGAGACACGCTGGCTTCTGCACTCTTCCTCAGGTTCGCCTGTGGCAAGGAAAAACAGAGAGCAGCTGTGATGCAGGAGAAACCAAATCCTTAGCCAAAGCCAAAGATGATAAACAGGCATTTATTTAACTTCACTTCCCACTGCTAACTTGTGTTTGAAGAACTGTGGCTCTTTACATCAGGACACAGCGTTAAAATTTGTTCATATTTACTTCAAATCTCTTAAAAATAAAGTAAAAAAAAAAAAAAAAAAAGAGCATCTACCTCCTCATCCAACTCCTTCATAATCTTCTCAATCTTGGTGTTTGATGCCCTAGGGGGAACAGAAATGTTATGCGTTATAAATGCACGAGATATATAATCTTACAGTCACAGCTGAATGCAAAGTTTGGCTTCCTGTTTATAATCAAAGAGTCGCATTCCACCAGGCTGGAAGGGATCAATCTACACCAAGTGAAGAACTTACCCCCTTGTGCAATTTTCCTTCACAAATCTAACAGTTTAACTAGAAACAGTCGCTTGTGGGATTCTTTTAAACAACTACGCTCAGCAGGGATGAAGTCACAACATTTCATATGTTTTCACTTAGATCAGGTCAGCAAATGCATATTGTGCAAGCGTAACGTCTTAATCCATACCTGCATTTCTGTTCCAGCTCATCTTTTTGTTGCATTTCTCTGTGGAGTTGCTCCTCTAATTGGTAGATCTGTTTTTGCAGGTTCTCCAGCTAAAAAGAGAACAATTTATTTATTTATTTTTTTTTTTTTTTGACGGGTGAAGAAAATGGCAGACATTCACATCGTCTACACGTTGAGCTCATGTGTCATACTGTACTCACATGACTCTTGTCCTCTTTTGTTGAACTGCTACGTTTGTCGCTGGTCTTTGAGGCAGCGGATCCACGCAAAGGACTGGAAAAAAAAAGGTGGGGGGAGAATATGAGTCTCTTCCCATTTCAGCTTAGAAAATGGGAAGATATTTTTTTAGGAGATAAAGACAATAAAAATATACAAATTGTAAAGAAAACCTTAGGACAAATGCTTCACTTCAATTATGTATACCAATGTTACCAACGAAAACAATTATTCCAACCATTTCAGTTCAGATTCTATTTACTCTTTAATTAATTGCTTACTGGTTCTTCTTGTAATTAGTTCATTTGTCATGCTAAGACTACTTTCAATGCAACTATATTTCCTACCACATTCCAGTGGATTTTTTGTAAAGGGTTTGTTGTAAAGAGTGAGTCTTCCAGTAGATAACAGGAAGGCTGGACGGAGCACAGCTGCTGTTTTATCCTTCTGAGCTTTCAACCTCTGTCTGCCTTGAAAACCTGCTGACTACGGAAAGGTTGGAAGAATTTTGGAAATCTCGGATTTAAAAGGTTAGCTCAGGTATTTTGAAATGAGGTTCTGTGAAGTTATTCCTGGCAAGAGCTTCCTTATGTGTAGCAGAAAGATGCTGATTGGGCAGTAAATAAATCCTGAGAGTTGTGGGCAGTCTGATGTAAACTGGGGAGGTTTAGCTGAACTTTGCCATTTGGAGCAATTCAAACAAAAATGTTTACATTCGCTCAGACTCAAGCGCCACCAAAAACAAAATAGTCTTTTAAATTTTATGTAACAATGTTCGATGTGCAAATACACTGGAGATGGTGTATTTTCCAAGTCTCTGTGATTCTGTCAGAATCATTAAAAATAAAAAAATGTCGTTCTCCAAATCAGCTGATGAAGCAAATTCATAGAGAATCTGTCTCCTTAGCATGTTAGCTTTCCACCAATCCAACACTGTGTTTACTTTTTCAACAAGGCTCAGTATTCGTTTTGTGAAAACTACGATCAACGTATCCCTGGATATCAAGTAAAGTAATCCCACCAAACATTTTTAACACTGCTCTAAATTACAGCTATAAGAGTCGCCTGACAGGCTTACTGTTGATTGCTGTAATACGTGAAGCCGACAAAAGGGAGCTGATTGCCCACAAAGGCCTTCGGTATGGGAAAGGTCTCCTCCTCTCCCCGGTCTTCCTCGATGTCATCAAAATTACTGGTATCTATGTCACTGCTGAGTTCAGGCACCACAGGGGCAGCGGCTAAAAGAAAAAAAAAAAAAAAAGAAAAAAAAGATTAATACCACTTTTACACAGCCAAAAGCGATAAGGCACAAGATTACCGCCAAGGAGTTACAATCTGACAAAGGTGACTTATCTGATCCAAACCCAAAGAGATTACGATCTTTGAATTTCAGCTGATATGGTGTTCTTAAGCACCTGGTGTAATAATTTGTTTATTGCATTAAAAATTGCTCTGAAAAATAATTGTTCAATTATGTCTACAAATCTGCAGTGTCCTTTGCACAAATCTTTTAGCATTACAGACATAGCTCAAAGTCCCCACTTAAAAAACAAATGAAAGCAGTTGTCTGGCAGAGCTGATTTACCATTGAACCAACAGAAGAAGCGAACAGCAAAGTCCTGACTTCAGCCTTGAAACCTATCAGACATAAAGCCACTAAAGAACCGAGTGCAGCTGCTGGATTTAGCCCTACGTTTCCAATCGCTCCGCGCTGCAGCGTCACTTGCGGCACATTAACGTCGGGAGTTCAAACTGCCTCCCCGTTCGTGGCCTCAAAGAGGCCGCGCTGCCAATGATTACTCTGAACAGGAATCACGTTTAGTCTTGGAAAGGATACTGAATGAATGGCTTGTCTGCAAGAATTTCCTGCAACTGTCTGCAGTAGGTCAAATGGAAAACATGATCACTGGCCTCATGATTGAAATAAGTGTTGCAACTGTTAAATGAAGTGGGATTTGTAAAAATGTTGATAAAATAGCGAGGGAAAAAAAAAAAAATCCTTACTTTCTCGGATGTTGTCCCATGTCCATTGGTCGTTTTTGAAGAAAGGGTGTCTCTTGATCTCGTCTACTCCATTACGGCCGAGCCGAACTTCCCTACGCGGGGGAGAGGTGTTTGCATTTTAACAGCTCAATGGACTCCATGACAGTGGAACGCCATTCATTCATACATGCTAGATTATTTCAACGCAGTGGATGCCTAAACAAGCGAAACATCTATTGATCTCCAACCTGTCAGTCAAGAAAGCGCAGATGAGATTTTTGGCATCGTTGGAAATGTCGCTGTCATCCGGGAAGCTCAGGGCATTCTTGTGGTTCATGATTTTGCTGTAAGTCCCCACCAATGAGTCTGCGTAGAAAGGCGTATCGCCTGTGCACAAGACATACGAGAGTTACACGACACTGATTTATTCTGTGGTGAATAGTGGGTTTATTATAAAACAGCCGGGAAAAAAAAAAAAAAAAAAAAAAAAAGACTCACCAACAAGCATCTCATAGAGAAACACTCCTACTGACCACCAGTCACACTCTCTGCCATAGTTGCCATTTCCTCCTTGGGATTTCAGTACCTCAGGCGAAATGTAGTCTGGAGTTCCAACTGCTGTGTCACATTGTACCATCCCATCCTGACGAGGAAAAAGATATCAAAACCATTTCATTACATTATTGGGGGGAAAAAAAAAAAAAAAAAAAAAAAAAAAAAACATGACATCCAAGAAAGTGAATAAAAACAATTTTTTATTTTGAGAAAATGAAAATGATACCTCATTCATCTTCATGCACGTTCCAAAGTCTGCAAGTTTTAAGTGACCTGCTTTGTCGAGCAACATGTTATCAGGTTTTACATCTCTGTTGAAACAAAAACGAAAACAGTCAGCAAAAAAAGGCTGAGCAGCGGCACATTGAAGTCAAACGTTTGTTATCTGCAAATGTAAAAACAAAAGACAACTTGCACTGCAATGGGAAGGTTTTTGTAGATTGTTACACAATTCCATTAAAGAAGTTTGTTGTCTTTTATTGGTACTGGTTTACTTCACGACTTTTAACTCAAAATGTATCTTTGTTGTCACGGAACAAAATAGGAGGTGGGATCAAAATGTTTGTGGTGGCCGTCACCTGTGAATGAAGCCCATGGAGTGGATCCCGTCCAGCGCCAACACCACCTCCGCTGTGTAAAAGCGGGCCCATTTCTCTGGGACGTCATAGTTGCTCATCAAGTTAACCAGATCCCCACCAGGCATGTATTCCATCACCATGTAGAGGTAGCGGTCATCTTGGAATGCAAAAAAGAGCTGAAAGGAGAAAAAAAAAAAAAAGTCAAAATTATAACAAACCAAACATAACATCAAAGTAAATCAATATTTGACGTTTTACATCTTCACCATCTGTACTATTAAATTGGAGCTTTTACCTGCACAACCCATGGACTGTTGGCAAAAGCCATGATGTCTCTCTCTTCCCAGAAGAAAGCAGAGTCTGACCTTTTGATCATCTCAAACTTGCTCAGCAGCTTCATGGCGTATACTTTACGTGTGGATTTGTGTCTTACCTAAAAAAAAAAAATAAATAAAAAAAAACAAGTGAAAGTTGGGCGTTCAAACGAGTTCCTTACCTTTAATATAAGATAATAAAAAGGTAAATTCTTACCAATTGAACCTCTCCAAATGCACCTCTTCCAATAACTTTAACCACCTCGTAATCCTCTGCTTTCATTCGTAGATCACGGATTTTACTAATTGTTTTTTTATCTGGTGGGGGGGAAAAAATAATGATCGATCAACAATCAAAAGGTTTACATGTTTTCTGCACGTTCCAGTGGGTAAAATGCAAATTTTAAAGATCAAACTTACTGAATGACTTAAGTTACTAAGCCCAAGTTAAATATTACTTTGTCAACTTACATTTGTGTTTATTGTCCATGGCATGCGACTCAATTGCTGTTACAGAGAATCCTACACAGTAGAATACTTATTGCAGTAAGGTTTCAGCAAACCGCTGCACACAGGCAGTTGTTACTGTTTAAGATTTTAAAAGTGCCAAGAGTGCTAATAAGTAAAAAGCTACTTTTTTTTTTCTAAATGATTAACCAAAATTTACGACAAAATATCTGCAGGTAAGACTTTTTAAAAGACCTAAAATTAGATAATTGAAATTCAGACTAATTATGACTTTTTAAAGTCCTCCAGAAGCCACTACATACTCCACATCACAGAGTAAATCAATTCTGAAATTCATGGAAAAAATCCCCAGTGATTCCAAAGTTGCAGATATTCGACAGCAAAATTAGTCACCGACTTAATGCTGTCAAGAATCTGTTTTAACAATCACATGTCCTTTGAGAGTCATGGAAAATCTGCATTTTGAACGCAAGCAAAATTGTTGGCAAACCAACTAGAAAAAAAGCTGAGAGTGTTTAGGGAAAGTTTGCTGCCTATTGAGAGTTGGCCTCTACCCAGTGTAATAATTCCAGCTCCCCAGAGAAGCATCATATCCACCATTAATCCAAATTTGGTCAAGGCTGTGTTAGGGGGACAATTTTCAATTCACATGGGTCACAACTGGCACCGGAGTGCATGGAAACGCAGCGCATGGACATCAAAGTTCAACCGTTGCGAAAATAAAGCAGTATGCTATTATGACAATTATTGTTTGTTGTTTAAATATAGGATTTTATGTTCGTTGGAAACTGGTAAATTTGGTTGCACGTTTGCTAGATTCAGCCTTTGTTCAGTATTTCTCTGCACAAACACAATGGGGCAATCATTCGATTTAACTTCAGTGCAAAAGCAAAATGAATCGTGAGAATTTGGAGTAAAGAGTGCTTCAGGCAACTCGAGCCACTGAGGTCCGGGGTCTTCTGCAGATAATCCATTAGTCCAAATCCGTCAATGCTTTGCACAAAAAGACGAGACGAGGAATAACTGAGGTGATGTGAAGTGGCAGGTCCTCCTTTGGTCAACCACTTTTTTTCTCTCTGTTTCTAAAACCAAAATAACAGATTCTGCACAACCAGGGGCAACATGCTGAGTTATGTCAGAAGAAGGATGAGAGGGAGTATTTGTTGTTTTCATTAAATTATAGGTTAACTGGATGTTATTCAGGAAATTAAAGACGTACAAGGCCAAGTTACAACATCACTGCCCTGCCCCCACCTTAGAATAGCTGGCTTTATAAAAACTACTCCACTGCAACACACTGTAATATGATAGCTGGCATTTCCAAGAAAAATCCTTACTGAGAATCAAGTTAAAAAAAAAAAAAAGAAAAAAAGAAAAAAGAAAGAAAAACAAAAACAGTCTTGGACTAATATTTACATGACGTCTAAATTTAAATTGAGGGGGTTCCAAGGTTTGAGAGCAGCGAGGAAAAAGAAGCCAACCTTGATATGCATCATACGGGTCACCGGTCATTTATGAAAGCCCCTTTGTTGGGGACACTAAGCAGTAGACACCTATTGTGTCCAAGCATACATACTGACAGACACAAAAACAGCTTTCTGTGCAGTGCTGCATATAAACCCCGTAACAGGCGGCCTATGAACACAAATGGAACACCCCGTATAAAATGGGTACGAGAGCGAAAGCTATGATCCAAGATACTTACATCTATTCAAGAAGTTGTCAATGCTCTTGTTTTTCCTAAGGGCAGGGAAGTCGAGGTCGTATACCAACGCGTCCAAGCCGTCCTGGAGGGAGACAAACAGAGCTTAGACGAGGCAAAACCCAACAGTTTAATTTATTATTTTTTTTATATATACAAGATATACATGTTTTCCACTTAAGTAAAAAATATTAATGCTAAAAAAAAGGCAATTAAATGTGTGTAGCTCAACAATCCATGTTCATTTGAGGAAAATGTAGTTTATTTCCACACACACACACACACACGCGCGCTCGCATTGTGATGAAGTCAAATGGTGACAGAGTAGCGAACACCAACAACTTAAGTATTGTTTTTTGGAGGGTGAAGGAAAAAAAAAAACTGAAAAAATTTCAACCTTGTTTTCAATAATAAATCATAACATATTGTGGACAATTCAACAGAAAAACAAATTTGTTATAATAAAAAAGATAAAATAATTAGTGATATTCTGACTGTAGGCCATTCTGAATCTTTAATATTTTCTAGTGATGGATTTTATTTTTTTTTTTTTTAATTATTGGTTTAAACTTAATCTGATTTTGAAAAACATAACTGGTTTTCTATCCAAACACCAGAAACTTTTAGGTGAAAACTGAAGGGCATTGCTCAGTCCTGACAAAACCTACAGTTCCACATGAAGAAAAGCAACCCCAGAGCATGACTCTGCCACCACCATATTTCACTATGAATATTGACTTCTTCTGGTGATATGAAGTGTTGAGCCACGCTTGGTGAAATCTTGTAGATTTCCTCCCTGACTAGTTTCTGTCTCATTTTGGAGAATTGACCCCTTTCTGTTCCTTGTAGTCCTATCTCACTAAACAACTGAGTTTTATTCCAGGTTAGTGAGAGTCACAGCAACTGCTGTCAGGTATGAACTCAAGAAGATCTAATGCTTAAAATTGAGTTCCCAAATTGCTTCACAAACATTTACCATTATACATATTTGTGCAAATATTGTTTATTTGGTTTCTTCTGATGCGAGTGCTTTTGACTTGAACTACATCACACTACATCATGTGGAAAAATGTTACAGCTGTCAGTATTTTTTTTTACATCACATAAAGCTTTAATTTCAACATGCACCTTTAAGAGTGCACTATCAAATAAGTTATAATAAAGGCTGACCTGTTCTACAGTTCTCAAATGCCAACACACACACAGTACACACACACTGTGACGTTTTGACAACATAACTCCCTCTACTGAAACTAAAGGCTTTCAAATTATGCTTGAAATTATGCTTCACTAAAATATTCTCCCTACAAACATATCCACTCCCCAGCCTTACCCAACACAAAGTATGATGATATGTGTCAATTCTTCCATAAATGCATTTGTGAGATCATACGCTGATGTTGGATGAGAAGGCACGGTAGTCTTTACTCTTATTTATCCCAAATATGTTCAGTCAAGTTAAGGTCTGAACTGTGCAGGTCAGTCAAATTCTTCCGCACTCATCCATGTCTATTTTGGGCCTTGCTTTCTGCACTGGAGTGAAGTCACGATAGAAGAGGGAAGAGCAATCTACAAAATGCATCCACAAAATTAGGTGCATTAAACTTTAATGCACCTAATTTTGTGGATTAATTTAAAGCATCTAAAATGCCTTATTGTGCTGAAGCTTTGAGAGTTACTTTCACTGGCGCTAAGGAGCTAAGCCAACCTCACAAAAACAGCCATGTACCACAATCCCCTTTATGACAAGCTTTACACCCAACACAATGTGGTCAGGCAAGTGGTGTTCTTCTGGCAGCTGCCAAACAGAAAGGAGTCATTGGTCACTCCAGAGAATACGAGTATACTAGTCTTTAGTCCAGTGGAAGTTTCCTTTGCACAACTGCACTGAACTTGTTGATGTAAGGCCTGGAAGCAGCTGCATGACCGTGGAAAATCGTTGCATGAGGTTCTCTAAACGAATCTGAAAGGCACATGAAAACTGGATGTCTACAGCCATGGATTCTACAGGAAGTTGGCTAGCTCTCCACATAGAGTTGATGTTCCCAGTCTCTTCCACTTTCTTACAACACCACTAACAGTTGACGCAGTGGAATATTTAGTAGACAAGAAATGTAGCTGCTGGACTTAACTGCGCAGGTTGCATCCTATGATGGAATCACGTTGGAATTCAATGAGATGTGGAGAGAGATGCGTTCTTTTGCAAATGTTTGTAGAAGCGGTTTGCCTGCTTAGGAGTGAATTTGACACCTGTAGAAATGGAAGCGACTGGAACATGAATATGTTTTTTTAGGAAGGGTGAGTAAAAACCTTTGGCAATATAGTTTATCCGATGAAACAAAATAATTGAACAGATTATTGGATAGTAAGGAACCATTTAAATGTAGGTGTGAGATCCACTGCTGGAACTCAAAAAGTTTCAGACGGCGGGCTGACTCTGTCTTGGCCCGGCAAGAGACTAAGTACCACTGGAAAGGTTTAACCTAATCTGCCATAATCCACAGTGGTTCCAACAAAACAGCCGCATAAACAATTCCAACATGTGCAGTAGCATGCTGTTCATATAGCAGGTGAAGTAGAAGCAAAAGGAGTATTGGAGATATCACACGTCAGCTTAGTGTATTCTAAAGTTGCCCAGTAAACACGTCTAAGGAACTACTTATTTTTAAGTGTTTATTTGATGACACAAATCTCCAAGTACAGAGTTAACAGAATCCATTGAGTCATGCCCGCATAGTGAATAGGTCAGTAACGTGTTTCATTTTGCATCTCTGTACAAAGTAATGATGACACATGGTGAATCAGCAGCTCAGGCCAGCAGAGGAATCCTCTTAGACAACTTTGCTCCTTCTACTCAACGGTGGAGGTCAAGGCCACACCCCTCACTGAGAGACATAACACCAATAGTGCCCTACAGGAAGGGTGGAAACAGGGAAAAAGCAGGTAGGAGGGGCAAGAGGAGAATTGGGAGGTAGAGAGTGGCTGGTAGGACGAACAAAAGCAACTTACTCATTTGAGAAGTTAATGAGGGGCAATAAAAAAAAAAAAAAAAAACAACAACACTGAAATCTGTGTGATTTCAGAAAATCTTCATAAAAGCGACAGGCAACGAGGACTAAGGGATGTTGCTGTCCATATGGAAGTCAGCCAGCCTACTCTGAAGGGAAAAAAGAACTAAAGAACAAAGTCTTTTGGGACCCTAATCACAAGGCTCTGAGCGCGGCATTGCACGTTTGCATAACTTCCTGCCACAGAGAACTCTGGACAGCCACAGCAGCATTCCTCAACAGGACTGTACACGTCAGAGAGCTATTTTAGGTATGTGGCCAAACAAGTTCTCAACAAAAAGTGAGGAAGACACAGAAAAAGTCCATCCCCCATACCAAGTCACTGAACAGAGCATGTTTTCAATCAACACAAGTGTCTACCACCATGATGGAAGGAAGGGAGAAGGGAGTGGAGAGCTGGCACCAAGTGGGCAGGTCCAATAGGAAAGCAAGGACGGGGAAACAAATGAGGTCAGAATGGACAACAATGATGACTAAGATGGTTTAAATTAAACCCCAGAGTGAGAAAGGAGTTATTATACTGTAAGTGAAAAATTTTACTGTGACGTGAACAAGAGAACTACTAACCTATTATTGACGAGATCTTAAAATGAAAGGAACATAATGGACAGCACCGCCTGCACATGGAATGCCATTCAGCATGCAGGACTTTAACCCACAACAAAACGGACACTACTTGACTATTATGAGTTTAGGCGGACAGGATAGGCCGGATTTTGGCTCCAAACAAATGTGTAAAAAAAAAAAAAAAAAAAATGCTCATACGTTACAGGCATCGAATGTGTGCTTCTGGCTCTTTCCAAAGAATGAATTTATGTGTTGCCTTTTGAAAACTTTGGACAAGATGGCAAAAAGACAAAGAGAAGCATCCTTCCTCTAAGGAATAATTGATGCATGCTTAGCACTAAACATCCCACAGCAAACAGTACCATGTCATACCAGTTAAAAACAAAACAAAACAAAAACAACAAAAAAAACAGGCATGAAACAGCCAAAACTGCAAAGGTGACATGACAGAAGAAGTGAGCAAGCACCCGAGGCAACATTTAGTGAACAATAAAAGGTACAACCGGTTCATGTGGGAGGATGCTTTGGATTCTAAGAAAGATCAAAACATATACTGTGGAAGATTTGTTGGTATGATGTCCACTCGACTGCAACACAACTGTACAACCACCTGAAATCTAAAGATGAAATTATCAATTCCCCACAAACACAAATTTATTGGAATTTTGCATGTTTGCCAAAATTAACCTGTTGTTCACAGGTTGTCATTCACAATGTCACAGGGGTGTCAAACTCCAGTCCTCAAGGGCTGCTGTCCTGCAGTGTTTAGATGTGCCACAGGTAAAAAACAGTGGAATGAAATGGCTTAATTACCTCCTCCCTGTGTAGATCGGTTCTCCTGAGCCTTGCTAATGACCTAATTATTCTTTTCAGGTGTGGTGCAGCAGAGGCACATCTAAAAGGTGCAGGACAGCGGCCCTTGAGGACTGGAGTTTGACACCCCTGTCAGGTGACAGTGACAGGTTAAGAGATATATTTTCAGTAGCTGCTTAAAAAAAAAAAAAAAAAAACATAAGGGAAAGATTCAAGAAGAAGACACCCAAGTACATGTGTTCAAGTACATTATCGACTTTGAAACAATTAAATAGATTTATATCAAGATTTCCATATTGACCAAACATGCCATTTTTTTCCCCATAATTACAAAGCACTGATTAATTTGTTTGACAACTGTAAAGGTTTCAATGGAAAGGCAGCAGAAATAATTTTTCCCCAGCTGAAGCTTGTCAAGATTCAGATATCAAACTTTGCATTTCTTCAGTGAATGAGTAGACCACTCGTTATCTGGGCTCGGCAATAAACCCAAAGACAATGGCAACTCTGTTGTCATATTTACAATCTAAAACTGACAAATGACGTACAACGTTGATTGTGTCCACATAATGACTGAGTATCAACAGATATTCAAAATAATGTGTTTAGGTCACTCTGATGCATGTAGTTGACACAG